AATCCTCTGTAATCAATGCACAGTCTCAATGTTCCATCTCCCTTCCTTGTAAAAGTGACTCCGGCACTCCAAGGGGACACACTGTGTCTAATAAAACCAATGCCTTGCAATTCAGTGATCTGTTTCCTTAACTCTTCCATCTCAATGCGGCTCATGCGATAAGGAGCAACCGAAATGGGCTGTGTACCTGGCTTTAGGTCTATAGTGAACTCGACTTCTCTGTCCACTAGCAGACCGGGCAGTTCGTCCAGAAACACATCTGGGAAGTCTCGGACTACCGGAATCTCTTGAATACAAATTTCCTTCTTGGGCTTGCCTAGTCAGAGAAAACAACAAAATTTAGGCACTAGAAATTAAGAAAACTTGTCATCAAGGAATAAGTACTGAATGATTTTATTAATTTGTAAATGGCTCCTCGTTAGGAGGATTAAATACAACTTTCTTGTTAAAGCAATCTATGGTGGCTTGATATGCCACTAGCCAATCCATCCCTAAGATTACATCAAAATTCCCCGTGTCTAACCCTATCAGGTCTACACTCAGTTTTTTATTTGCTATCTCCACGGCACAAGCCTTGTAAATAACTTCCCTTAGTAGTGTTTCACCTCCGGCAGTAGACACAAATAATAATGAATCAAGTTTATTAGGTGATACATTAATTTTGGAAGCAAAAACATGTGAAACAAATGAATGCGATGCACTAGTGTCAAATAAAACATGAGCAATATGGTCACAGATAGTATACATACCCTGTACCACATCCGGGTCGGCGTCGGCATCCTGCTAGGTAAGGTTGTAAGCTCTACCCTGGATAGGAGGCCTTCCTTGATTCTAGTTCCTCGGGCATTCTCTTGCATAATGCTGGGCACTGCCACATATGCGACAAGTGTTGTTGAGGTGGTAGCAGGGTCAGTCCCCGTGATCTCTACCGCAGTGCTGACAGATCTTCCCACGTGTTGCCCCTAGAGCCCGAGGAGGGGCCTGGATGGCTGGTCTGGGCCTCTTATTTGGTTGGGCAGGCGCAGTAGGTGCTGGCCTGCGGAACGGAGCTGAGGGTCGGGAACTCCCTCCTGGCTAAGGACGGGTGTTGAAGCTCCTTTCCACGATATGTGTCTTTGCTAGGACTGCTGAATATGTCTTAAGCTCCAGTACTAACAAGTGTTGCCTAATCTCCAGGAGGAGACCCCACTGGAATCTCCTGGCCTTTTGACCCTCATCCATCAATGTCTCTGGGGAGTATCGGCCCAACTCTAGGAACTTACGAGCATATTCTGATACTGTCATGTTTCCCTGGACCAGTTGAACAAACTTCATTTCCTTTAGTGTCGGATGTGCTCAGGAGATACTCGGTATGGAAAGGCCGCTAAGAACTACTCCCAAGTGACTGGTGTAGGCAGGTGGTCTGCTTGAGCTCCCACCAACGTCCTGCTTCCCCTACCAGCATGTAGAGCAAGGGCAGCTCTCTGCTCAGACTACTCCCAAGGTCTGAAAGCTCTCTCAGTCTCCGCCAGC